CTATATTTATATAATCAAGTTTTATGATGATACTCTTGCAGGGCCTCTTGGTTGCAATGCAAAGGGAACAGCAGGAAAAATGGCCAAGCGAGTCACCAAATTCTTCTTCTTGCCGTTCGCCGCAATCATAATGTAATTAAATTGGGTGCTCCTATATATTATCAAGGATGTATGCAGACATTTGTTCAATTATACGACTACGTGTGTCTATAAGAAATGGGCTTATACTTGTTATTCGCGCACTTCAAGACTGATGTCGGGTGTGCCTAAGAGTCAATAGGAAAGGAGAAAATTCTTGCCTATACATGCCATCTTCAAGAATGTACACGTACATGCAAGTAACTGATAATGAGCCAGTTTACAAAGATTTCTTAGCAGACAATATAATTGAATGGAGACTCGCTTCCTCCGCCCCCGAAACATAGTCGCTATTCCAACTCATCACTTCTGTCCTGCAAGAATCAACACCTGTGTTTGACCCCTGCATACCAATTTTGACCCCACATACTTGTTTCCCACACAGGATCTTATCAATCGTTATTGTGGGTCTTATGTTTGCCGTGAATGTTGGCATGTCAGACTTCTGCTATACGCCGGATGTAACGGTCACCTCTGTGTTGCCAGATGACAACACGGCATTCGTCAGCTACTACACAAACTGTGAAGGTATAGCTTGTCCCTCCTGGGTGTACCGAGTGTACACGCACTGTCTGTATTTGCAATAGACATTCATTTGTTATAATGTGTGCATAGACATACAGCAACAGCTGAGTGCTGTCGTCAGACCAGTACTGTGTTGATGTTACGTGTATGAGTTCCAGTGGGAGGATGGTGACATCATTGAGAAGGTGAGTGCTCACAATACGCCTACTCGACCGTGCACACGAGCATAAAAGTATTGTATACATAATTATTTTTTTGCGTCGAGATAAGAACTTGGCCAGGCTGTATAGATGCTGGTTGTAGAATGGCAAGGTAGGTATACTGTGTAACCGCGATAATAACACAGATAAGAGGATATGTTGTTTCGCGTCGGTTTACCAAACTGACTACTCATTGTCGGGATTGTCTGCTATATTCGAAATACGGGTATTGTCAATAACAACCACGTAGAGCTCTACATCAACACTAACGTACACATGTACATAAAAACGTACATCTCTGCACAACGCGAGGCATGGGCGAACATTCGTTTCTGCTGCATCGTAACACAAACCTCGTATGCATTCAATCCCCACACTAGCATCACCATATATTCACTTACGCTCTTACCTTAATCAATTCTCAGGTGAGAATCGGTTCCTGGACGAGTTGAATGACAAGGGCGAGTTGCTGAGTCTGCTGAACGATTTCAATCCCCTGCTGAATCTGTCGATTGGATTGTGTCCCATTGAAACCCATGATGATATCAACCTGGCAACTAATTCGTGAGTACTAATCATACGCTCAGTGTCCCTTAATTTTTGTATTGTGAATGTAGATGCACATGTTCTTGATTATGGAGCACTACTGAAATATCGCATTTATCTGAATGCACACCACAAGGAGACAATTAAAT